CAGCATCCACCACCAAGACGAGTATCCCCGGCCCCGTGGTGGAGGCTTTCCTAGGCGCTGTTATGAACGTCTGCTTAGCTGCTGGCGAAGCCAGTGCCTCCTTCTTGCGCGCCATTGTTTCTTCCATCCTGCTCTTTACTTTGCCGAAAACTTCCTCGAGCGGATGGCAGAATAACTCTCGAGCCAATTGGTTGTTAGATCATATACTGCGCACAGCTTACTGGCTGAATACGGCCTACTTAGATACTGCGTCAATGAATGCCCCAGAGGAGTGGTGGTACGGTGCTGTTGGACAGGAGTTGCGACCTTCTCTTTTGGTATGTAAACTTTCTATATTTGTGATGTTTATTTTGAAAACAAAATCGGTTTAAAAAAATAAAGTTTCGACATAGACGACTGACAGATATCCCGGATTCTATATTAAAAGCACAATCCTTAGCGGGATGTTTACTATCGCGTTTTGCTAGTGACTCCTAATCGTGCCTTCTTATTTCGGTTGCTTATTGTTGTTGTGGCTTTTTACTTTCCTTTTACATTAATTTATAAGTTGGAGCATATTAGTTTATTTAAGGGTCTACAGACCTGAACAGAAAATACATGAGCCAAAATCAACCAATCACTGAGCGATAACCGTGTTATATTCAAAAGCCGCTGAGAGCCAGTCAGTAGTATAACTTACGCAATTATCTACCATACTGATACCACAGGCGCACTGAAAGAAAACTACAGGTACACGTTTCTCCCGATATTCCCCCCGCTACATGGCACAACTGGAGAATTCGGATTATAAGTGGTTCGCCCAGCATCCCTATGTGCTTTCTACTAGAGCCTCTCTTTTTGTAATTGCACCTCTTTACTTGCATAAAATTGATTTCTAACTTGAAGTAGATCAGGTCGTCGTAATATCTATTTCTGCCGTTCGTGTCCTCTCTATTTCGTTATTTCATCAAGTGGCACCAAGTCTATTACTTTTTCATCACCTTCCTGTGGCCTAAATCTTGTTTGCATGTTTACATATTCAATTACCTCCTTCTCTTCCTTTTCCTTCTTCA